CGGTCACAAACTCCTCTGCAACTGTTTCAGGCTGGACATAAGGATGAACTTCTTTACTGTCCGAGCCACCAAAGTTTGGAACAGACTGCCGCCGGAGGTGGTTCAAGCACCTACTTTGAACGCCTTCAAGACACTATCTTGCTGGGATCCTATGATCCCTGCCAACTTCCTGCCCCTGGGCAGGGGTCTGGACTCAATGATCCTCCAGGGCCCCTTCCAGCCCAAACGTCTACGAAATCTATTCCATCCAAAGAGCGTCTCAAACTAGCAGGCATGTTAAGACATCCAACGATACTAACAACTAGCTTATAACTTATAGCTAATTATATGTGCCCAACTGATACAGCACAACAGGGTACACAAAGTTTCTAGCCCCAACTGGAACAAGCAGCATTAAGAGCTAGACTAATAGCTATAATCTCCTAACACAGATGCAGCTTTGTGAGTATAAAAGACTGCTCTGTACCAATACGAAACGGCATTCCCAGAGAGCAAGAGTGATCCCTATACTGGCTACACTGATGAAACTACATCCACACCCAAGCTCTGACTGATAGGGTTGTTTTAGTGAAGGCAGCTATTTTCTTCTGCAATACCTACACCACTAAAACCTTCAAGTGGAGACCAGGCCAAAGAGAAGTGAAAACTATTTAAATATGGAACTTCCTTTGTCATTCGGTCTTCCCCTCCAGGATTTAGTCCTACTTCCTCTTTCGTACAAAAGCTATTCTGTCCCCGCACTAGTAGAAAGCCAAGACTATCATCTATTTTTACCAGGGGACAACAGAATTGTTACACGACTTACAACACAGAGACTCCCTTAGCCATCAGCTATCTCTTAGACAGGCATGAAGAGCACATTGCAGACTTGCTCCCAAGTAGGGACAGCATGGAAAAGTAGAGAACCTTTCATTCATGCTAATAAAGCATCCCCAAAATTTAATTGGCCAACCCACAAACTCCCCTCATTCAATTCCTTAAGAACTTTTCTGCCATTCCAATTATAAGGGAAATAAAGTTGACCATATTATCCATCTAAAAAGAATAGCTGTGAAATGTTAACCCTTGATAAAATTACTCTTTTCTAAACGTTGTCATCTATTCTTTATACCTTCTTAAGGAATCACATCCAACTTTAAACTGTACAGCCTTCAGGTTAAACAATGCACTTGCATTTTTGTCATCTGCCTAACAGATTTTTAGAGTCAGCTAGGAATACATGTAAACCCAACCAATTATTTAAACTTAAAAGGCAGAGGGAAAACTATAATTCAGGAGAACACAGACTCAAGAGTGTTCCATTTCAGCAGTAGCTTTAATAGATTAACATAACCTTTATTATACACTGTTTGAACCCAAGATCCCAGGGAATAGTTCAATAAGTATATGCTTCAGGTTTAATGCCCTCAGCAATCTTGGAACCAGAAGTGAATCCCAAAAGGCTCATGGAGTGCATACACATAACTTAACATGTTGGGGTCTAACATGACACAACAGACAAAAATGTGCTTCTCAGGTCCCTTTGTAAGACAAGGGAAGGAATCAAATCTCTTGCTCACCACCAGTTCAGAATATAGGACTGGAAACGAATGTCTGGGCCAAAGAATCCAGCCTCTTGTTCCTGCAGGCAACCATGTCATGTAACTTCTTTTATAAAGTGATCAAATGCATGCCGTTTTCTACTCTGATGGTTAGAGACTTGATAGTTTCCACTTTTCAATGAGGAC